GGAGGACAGAACCCGCTCAGAGTAATAACTCTGGAGCTGTAAGAACTTGTGATGCTCTTAGGCATAAAAGCCGGGTTGGGACGCAGAGTCGCAGAGCTGCCATCCTCCCGTATCCTGAGGCAGGAGGGAGACACTGACAGAGCAGACAAGCAGGACAAGGAGCAGGAGACTGGGTCTGCAGTTTTTTCTACACACCAGCGCTGAAAAGATGACCACTTGGCTGCGTAGGATGAGACTGTGGATGCTGCGCGCATCCTGGATGGTGCGCACCACATCAGCAGATAAGCCCAGGTTTACTAAGCGTTCCCGTTCAGCGGCCAAGCCCAGAGGGGCTGGCCCAGTCTTGGGAAGCTCCTGATCGCTCCTCCCGAATGCAGGAGAGCGTCCTCCTGCCAGGGGAGCTGGAGAGGGAGGCCTGACAGTAATGACTGGAGGAACCGGGAACCAGTGCGCTCCCGTGCGCTCCGGAGCGATCAGAATAACCCGCCGATGGTCTGCTCTGATCCGGTCCAGTAGTTGCGGGATTAGAGGGACAGGAGGGAACAATAAAGCAACTTGTCCGGCCAAGGACGGTGTCTGCAGGACAACCTTTGTCCTCTCAGAGGTTGTCACATTGGATTTGTGAGGCTATTTCGCAGGCTTACATCTCATCAGGTCTACAGCCTCCAGCTGTACTGTCAGCTCATTCCACAAGGGGGATCTCTTCCTCCACTGCTCTGTACAGTGGAGTATCAATCCAGGATATTTGCTCTGCAGCCTCCTGGTCTTCCCCTTGCCCCTTCATTCAAGGACGCCTTCGGCCTCTGACGCGGGGTCATCCGACTCCGGTCCAAAGTCGATGAGTTGGTCGAGCGGAACGTGGTCGGACAACTCGAACSCCTCATCCGGGTCAGCGAAGAGGTCGGCCCGCCGCTGCCTCTCCTCCACRGGCAGTTTCCTGCATGCACGGCACGCCGGCTCGGCCYTCAGAGCCTGGTTAGCGTGGTCGGAGCCGAGGCATCCCTCGCACCTTACGTGCAGGTCGGTGGATAACATGTATCCGGCGTTGCAGGCGGGGCAAATCTTCGCTTGACCGGGCATCTTGATGAAGTTCGAATGGCGTAGGCTACTGATCTCGATAGCTGAAGAAAAAAGGGGAGCTGAACTCAGGTCCGTCCTCCCCTTTTATACGGACCGAGGTGGGAACCACGGTACGTGGGCGTAGACTATTGGTTCTTCAGAATGTGCGGGGGTACCCATCAGCGATAGCCTTAGAGGGCGGAGCTTACACAAAATAGAACACATTGCCAATATCTAACAAACTCCACATTCAAAAATGTCTAAAGAAATTATTACCTTTTTACATGGAAAAACGGC